TTCAGCGTTCCCACTATGGGACCTGTAGATACACGCATAGATTCGGGTATATCCCCCATATTCTATTCGTGACCATAAAATTGACAGGTCCTTGTCTTCAAGGTTGCTCAGACGGCGACAGCAGATATCTTCCCTGACGAACATACAAACCCCTGCTTTAGGCAGAAAGACATGCTCCAAGCTGTAACCGGGATATTTTAAATATGATGTATCGACAGGAGAGGATATCTGCGTCTCCGTTAAAAAAAGTAAGGCCGGCTTAGCTGTCTCAAGATGGTGATGGACAGCAATGAGGTTAGAATGTAGTCCCCTTATATTGCAGACGTCCACGTTAAACGTGGAAGGGGTGGCCGCTGTGCAAACGTTTCTTACTTTTGTTGCAACCATTGTCTAAAAAGGAGAAGAATGAGGAATTCTAAGATTTCGGCGCCCCCAGGACAAATGTAGCATTTAGGTTTGTGTCTATCCAGACCACCCAGGCTGTGTGTCTTGCTGGTATGGGGGACGGAAGGGCCCCCGATCCAACCCGACACTGATCGCCGTGTTCCACACCGGTCTCCCACTCCGGCACTGCGATCAACGCACGGGCTTTTAACATTGGTGGCGGGACAGCCTCCCAAACCGGGATAAGTTTGGGTTCGGGTCCCCTACGAACCAACGGGCGGCCAGCGGTACACCGTTTCATCGGGTCTCCCTGGACCCCATGCCAACATAACACGCCTGAATAGAAGGGACGAACTTCACCAAAATACCGGTCCTGAGGTCGCCGAGATCAACAGAATTCGGGAAAGGGGGGCTGGCTTACATGTCTACGACTGGAACACGTCCGAGGACATTTGGCAATCGAATACGACATGATAGTGGTCGCGAGCCAGTCGAGAGCGGTGCCCTCTACCACCATACTAGCATGGGTTACTCGCCTTTTACGAGACGCTTTCCCAGCGGCGGGGGAGAAATGTATTCTAAGCCCGTCTCCCCACGGGAAAAATCGAAATCCGATTTGTCTACTACTGTTTTCAACCGACATCAAATAATTTCGAAGTCGGTGCCAGCCGATACAAAGCAAAGCACACCGACTTCGAAAATATTTGATTAGGTATGTAAACTAAATGAAAACTACCAATCAGTTATTTTTTACATTTTAGTGCTTTTGTTTGAAGTCGGTTTTTATTTTTTTGTTAAAAAGTTTTTGTTGATTCTTTTTCTTGACGGACTTTGTATAATTCTTTAGTCTGAACACGATCATACTCGTAGCACATCTCTATGTTTAAATATTTTCAAACTAAAGCAACTTCATATTACAGTCTCAAAACTCTTTAGAAAATTAATTGTACATATTTAATATATTCTGTGTATTTTTATCTGCACTATTAGTGGAGTAAATTATTAAATACAACGCAACAGCTATGACGTTTGGGCTGGTTAATCTTAAAACTCTTTACCAAATAATTTATTTCTATTAATCTGAATAAATATAATAAACTACGTTGGAATGTACCACAAAAATCTAATTTGACGCTTTTAACCGAAATGTGAGTCCATACATAAACATTTTAGTCATTTCACATTTTCTTCTGTATTCATATTATTAATAAAGTATTCCTAAGTTATTGCAATCCGTTACAAAAAATCCAACAACTACTATACAGTCCATTATATCATCGTATTATAGTTATGTTATAGTTATATACATCTATATTTATAAAATAAAGTCGGGTTTGTTATAACACTTATAACTAGAGAACCGCTGAATCGATACTCACGGTTTTTGATTTGTTGGAATTGTCCCCACCCCGAATAGCAGTATAACCTATAAAAATAGAAAAATCCACGAAAAGTAACTAACGCTGGCTAATAACTATTTATATCTATAGAACGTCTAGGGACGAACCCAAGCGAAGCGAGGGTGAGCCGCTAGTTGGGTAATAAACAGATTGACACTTAGAAAAGCAATATTGTATCTCAGTATTGAGATAATTATTTTATAAGAGAAAATTAAAAGTAATATAATAATTAAAGTCTCAATTCTAAATTGCTAGAATACCAATTTAAAGCATAATTCCTCACGGATATCAAGATACATACGACTATGAATACGCTTGCCAGCTTTATAATTATTACGGAAAGCAACTAGGTGAAAATAAACAGTCTTTGCAAATAATATGTTTGGGAAATATATTGCCAACTCAAACAAAGTAAATGAATTTCGTCCTTTCGTATACAAAGCTTAAATATTTGTATAATATCTACAAATGAATATTTTTTGAGATTTTTCTATACGTTTTTTAACATTTTTCTTTTTATTTATTTTATCCATAATCTATTTCTATAAAAATCATTGAAATATTTGATAAAAGTATTAATAAAATAATAATGTTATTCAGTATTATATTAATATAGAGAACTTGAGGCAGTGGTAGCCCAGTGGTAACACGCTCGCTTGGGAAACCGAGTGAAGCGAGTTCAAATCCCGGGTTTCGCACTTCTGATATTTTCATGTGCGAATCATTTTCTAACATGATTACCACTTGTCTTAACGGTGAAGGAAAACATCGTGAGGAAACCTGCATGTCTTAGAGAACTTAGCAAGTCTTCGAAAGACATGTGAAGTCCGCCAAACCGCACTTGGCCAGCGTGGTGGATTATGGCCTGATCCCCCCCTCGTATTGAAGGGAGGCCCGTGCCCAGCAGTGGGAAGTTAAAAAGGGCTGAATACATAGACAACTTACATATTTATGCGAAAGTATATTTTCCAGCTGAGATTCTGGGATCGGAAATACTTTTACATACACAAGGGTCACGCAAAGTAGATGCTGCAAGGAATGAGACTATTTTTATATTTTTTTCTATTATTCTAGTGATTTTATTTAAATACCTTTGTTTTTAATTTATCCTATTTGCATTTTATATCCAGCGGCTAAGGCTGTGCAGTGTCAAAATTTTACTAAGTGGATTAACAGATAGTGTATTAAAAATAATTGATTTTTTTTTATTTAATAAATTTATATTTTTTAATTCTTATTTTATCTGAAATCATCAAAGTCAGTTATGGCATTATTGCCACCCGATACAAAGATTTGAGCATTGTGTGAGTTAGTGCCCAAACTTAAAAAAGATATGCCAGGTGCCTTTTCTTCTTCTCTTCTGTCAGATGTAGAATTAATGCAAGTACAGGCCAAGCTTAACATGAAGATATTTTAGTATGCAAAAGAAATTATTGGCATACGGAATATAATGTATATATTTAAGCTACAGTACACGAATGTACTTTAAATGTAAAGATACATAGTTGTGTATTAGATGAAAAGAGTGTGGTTCTTAAAAGAAATAAGTAATTGCATTGGCGACTATTGCTACATTCTCGGTAAATTAAGCTATGTTGTTTATTGCTGTACAATATCACAGGCGATGAATCCTTTGCACTAACCACCGGTATAACATCATTATTTCTCATCCAGCCTTGCTTCTTTAATAATATACTTTAAGCTGGGAAAGTTGTATAAAATAATGGATTTATTTAAAAGTATTCATGAATATACAAACCATTTCACTTTTTCGACAAATATATGTTAGTAAAAATATAGGTACTATAAAAATAAAAAAACAGATTGCGTAAAAGCTAACTAAAAAGAAAGAAAACAAGTTTACGATGGAATATAAGTATTATGCAGTCGGAGATGTACACGTTTCATCCTTGCCGCAAGATGTACATATTCGTATGTATGTCTCCGACTGCATAATATTATAGTTATAGGTACCGTCGTGAATTTGTTTTCATCTTTTTAGTTAGCTTTTATGCAGTCTGGTTTTTTATTTTATAATATATTTACTTATTTACAGCTTTTTAAGTACATATTTTTAAGTAGGAAAATTAACGAGAATGGTTCCTAACCAACTTTAAATCATTATATATCCTAAACTGTTATTTAAAATGAAAAATGATGAAAGAAACCTAAAAATGATTTTTAAATACCTATTGAACGATACCTCACTTGACATAGTTCGTCGATTTTTTTTTCTTTTTTACATTATGGAATCTAACATCCCCCATTTTTTTATAGCACTTATTTAAGAACACTTGGACCATACCTTACCATACCTTAATTGAAATCAATCGAGTGGTTTGGAAGATATAAGGGAATAAATAATATTACAAACAAACAAATTTCCTTGCAGTCGGGTAAAAAATGGTGATGTGAATTGTGGTAATGAGAACTCTTTTCATGTACAGAATATAAAATTAGCTTCTACATTATCTAAGCTATATAACATATATTTTATACAATTATATAGGTAATATTGATTTCTGTGCAATATTTTTGCGTGATTTAAGCCACGCAGCGCGCCCACGCCACGCCACCAAATGAGCTACGTATTAATTATTCGTATACATCGTAAAATAAAATTTATATTTAATCATCCAAAAAGAGATATTCGGGCAATTTATAACATTGGAGCTCGGGATACTCTATGAGAACGTTTTAATAAAATTGGTCAAACGGTTACATCGCAATATACATACATATATACTGTAATATTATGTTTGTCCGACAACACATCCATTGCTACTTAAGAAACAGTAAAGGAACGAAATAAATACAAGAAATAAAGATAAGCTAAAACGCCTAGCTTTCGCCTTCAGAAAGTGAATAGGTCGGTTATGGGGTTAAGGTACACATGCATTCTCGTTAAAAAAAAATACATTTTTGTTAAAAAATTTTTTAATTTGTTAAAAAATTCGATTCTGAAAATATCTAATCGATAATCATAATATTTTATTTTAACTTTAAAAGTAAGTAGTGTAGGTTAAATGTTTTTGGGCGACCTCTAAATATAAATATTAACGAAATAATATTTTTTTATTGAATTCGACTTACAAAAGAATAGAAATAAAACACAAGACACAACGTACACACACGTACAAACTTTTGCAATTATAATAATAGTGTGATTTATTATGTTACAATGTGATTTATTATATAATATTTAATTGTTTACAGGCTTTCCGCGTAAAAGTAATGAAAGGCTTAGGCGCTTTCATGCTTTTGAACAATATTACGACTCTAATCTCGAGAGGACCAAGGGATACCCCGCAATCTGAAGAAGCCTGTCTCTCGAAATATAAAGACTTTGCTACAGTTGTCTCTGATAATGGTAAGTCAAACAAAAGTAATTCATTTTACAATATTAGTTTTCAAAAATTAACAAGAAATACTATTGACTAGTATAACTATACTATGTGGTGGAATATTGATCATGGTTCTCATTGTTTTGCTCTGAAACCTTTCGAGTATTTCAATATTACTATGGCTGGTTTTGCCCCAGAGCTAAATGCCACAAGTCCATATAGGCTTTCCGCTTTAGTATAGCTTTATAGGCAATAGGAATTCCCGACACAGTACTATAAGTATAATTTCTAAAAGTTACAAAACTAAACACAAAATAACAAAAGTAGTAAATCTCTCATTATTACAGTTTTGCCCCGTCACATGGACATTTGCGATGCAACTCCGAAAATTTACTACATTAGAAATTATCTAATTCTTCGGAGTCATAAGCAGTACTGAGTCTTCATGAGCTCTTACAATCTATACATTGCACTAGCGATGGGTCGTCGACGTATTTAGCGTGAACAAAACTAGACCGTTCATTTTCTTTCATCGACTAGTCGATCGACTAGTTCATATCGTGGACTGTAGTTCACTTCCGACTTCAATGTAGTTGTATACGCTAGATAGTCTATCCTATCTTTACTAGTTTATGTTGCGAGACGAAACGATTCGTCGCGACCACCGTGGTTAGATGGGATAGACTCGTAATGATGACATTGTATACTGAATAAATTAATAATCTTAAAATTTACGCGCACATCAAAATATTATCACTTGCAAAAAATTGCAACTATAATTATGAAATCTCTTTGTTACATTGACCAAGACAATATTAAAAGCTAAAACTTGCATTTAAAACTAAAGCTTGCATTCAAATATCAAACCACTGTCGAAAGCATTAGAGTTGAAATTAGTTTACATTCTGTTTTAACGGACGACCAACGAACTACTTGTTTACGTCAGTCTCAGTCTATGAATTGAACTAGTCCATTTGAAATACGAGTACGTAAACCACGGTAATGTTACATACTATTATCGTGACGTAAACCGTCGAACTGTCGTACGGTTGATTGAACTAGTCCGTTCATTCAACGCCCATTACCTACTACATTGCACCCAACATTCATCTGAAATGACTGAATTTCTGTCTCTTTGTTTGGGGTAGGTATAGTTGTAAAACGCACCTAAGAAGTTATACTTCTTTGTTTATTTAGAGCATTTAAATAAAAGCATGTTGCTTTTTTTGTTCTTTTTTTAATTATTTTTATTTTATTTTTTAGTTCGTATTTTATTCTTTATTCGTCTCAGCAAACCCTTTCATTTGATATCCATACCATGGGGGTGCATAAAAAAACATAGTCCGCCATCTTTGACACCATATTGGATTTACAATAACGTCACTTTGCTTATTGTGTTCCGCATAGCAAGCCCTTTCATTTGATGCCCATATCATAAATGTCAATATGGAGATGATAAATCACCATTTTGTGACGTCGGTTATATTGGATTAAAAATGGTAGATAATCGTGCCGTCACGAGAATCAAACGTATATACCAAATTTCAACTCAATCGGACATGGAAATTGGGAAGTGGGTCAAATTTAACTTGCAAGATTTGATTACAGACAACGGGACAGGTGAAACTAAATAAAAGCTTGTAATCATTTTTATTTTAATCGATATAAAACACAGGTTATTTATACTGGGATAAATATTTTGAATATAGACATCACTTCACACTATTTAAATAAGTTTTAACGACTAAATTGTTGTCTAAATTGTTTTTTCTTCTAAGTAACCCTAGCAAGTAGCAACATTTTTTGTACTCTCCAGATGGTTCTTTTACTAATAACGTTTACATAGAAGCGTTTTCTAAACACAAGCAATATCTTTAAGCCGCGCTTCTCATTAGCAAAATTCACCTGGTCTGTGGGCCCTCCCGTTTCAATTAAAGTGTTACTTCTTTCTACGCGACACATCTTGGTTTTCTGACATCCAGACGAATGAAGTCAAGGGCACACCTAGTAATATAATAAAAAGTATAAACGAAGCAATTTATGTGTTATGAATATATTCGTAAAATATATGGTAAATACATGATATCCTCCTGACCAATTTCAGCTATTGCGGCCAATCTCACTGTGACTCTCCAGATACGCTGAAGATATTATAGTGCAAAGAGGTGCACGTAGACACAAGTACAATCTCTATTCCTTTTACATACTTTCAAAGTCCGATAGGATGATACTTCGAAACGACCGGTGACAGTTAACTAGACGTGTTCTCCGAGGCATGGGGGTGTAACACCGCTATCTTCCAACCTCTCGGATAAAACAGTAATAAAACTCAAAACGACCCGGAACTCGAACCCAGGACCCTCGGATCTATATGCTAGCTACTAGACCACAGAGTCAGTTACGAGGTAAATACATAATATCGCTAACAATCTTTATACTTATAATGAATATGTATTCTTATATATTTACTCCATAGCCTCATAAAAATTTGACCACGTAAGAATATTTTTTTAAACAAATGTTGTAAGCTTACCAAAATAGGCTCAATGAACTTTAAATACGAATAGGGGCCAAGGGGCTTTTACATACTTTCAAAGTCCGATAGGATGAGACTTCGAAACGACCGGTGACAGTTAACTTGACGTGTTCTCCGAGGCATGGGGGTGTAACACCGCTATCTTCCAACCTCTCGGATAAAACAGTAATAAAACTCAAAACGACCCGGAACTCGAACCCAGGACCCTCGGATCTATATGCTAGCTACTAGACCACAGAGTCAGTTACGAGGTAAATACATAATATCGCTAACAATCTTTATACTTATAATGAATATGTATTCTTATATATTTACTCCATAGCCTCATAAAAATTTGACCACGTAAGAATATTTTTTTAAGCAAATGTTGTAAGCTTACCAAAATAGGCTCAATGAACTTTAAATACGAATAGGGGCCAAGGCTAGCGAAACCCTGACTCGGGATGACCCAGATTACCGAATTCACTAACAGAGAAAGGGCAACAACCCCTCGTCTCTTAGAACTTTGATAGAGTAGGTATTAATATATCTACATGTATTTGTAGGTGATTCCCTTTACGACGTCGCAGAGGTTTAGGATAAAATTATACAAAGACTTGTAATTTGTATTATGTTATATGTAGAAAATATATAAAGTTAGGAAATTTATACACTTAGGGCTTAGTCAAGGTGGCACTCCAAAATCGTTGAAGAATCGGGATGAGGGAGTTGCGTAATTAATAAGAGTCGCATAAACGTTTCCTCGGTTAGTAGGTAATGCTATACTTTTTATTTTAATACTAGCGGCTTACTTTCGCTTTGCTGGAGTTCGCCTCTAGGCAAACAAAAACAAATCTATTCCACGGGAATCGTACATTTTTTCAGAATAAAAAGTAGGTTATTTGTTATTCTGATTTATGAACTATATTATTGTAAACTTTTATTAAAATCTGATCAGTAGTTTTTGTGTACTATGCTGTATAAGTTACTATAGTTTTTTAACTATCCCACGAGAACTCTTTAATTTTTCGGGATGAAAAGTATCTAAAATGTTGACTGGGGATACAACCATGGAAAATATCATTTAAATCGCCCCAACAGTTTCTGTGATTAACCCGTACAAACAGACAATCAGAGAATCAAAAAAATTGGAAAAAGTCTGGGTTTGTTCTATTTCTCTTCTTACATCCCCCTGACTCGATTTTAGCATTTTTTTTCTATGTACAGACATTCGAGCTCTACAGTTTTATTATATGTATAGATTATACTATTAATATGTACCTATCTAGGCTACACAGTATCATTCGCTAAATCCAGGCACAACGATGAACTAAACCGGCGAATCCATATTACATGGAATAAAATCTGGGGAAATAAAGAAATATTAAAATCAAATATCTCTGTCAAACTAAACAAAAAAGTTCTTGACGCATGTTTATTGCCCTGTCTCACATATGGCTGACTAACATGGATATATAATAGCTTCGAATATTAAGTTTAATTAACTAGATTTGGCGCAGCTATCAGCGATTTCATTAGGTATCGATAATTCCTGAATAACCAGGGATTCAAGCCAAGGTTATGAGGATTTTCTGTTCGTGGCATCGAAAGAGTTTCTGAAATTTTTAATGTAATAATAAACCTTAATTTAATGCGGAAAGGTTTTTGCATGATACTCTGAAGAAAACTTAAAGAATTGGTGAAGATAATGAGTTCTGACATTTTATACGGATCTGCAAATAAAATGCCTTCAAGCCGAGCTATACACTTCCTAGAAAAGGCATAAGCTTCAGGAGGACACTTAAAACTTAATTTACTTTAACTTTTATTAAATCGAGGGACCCAGCAGATAGCCCCAATACAAGAATCAGAAGTAATTTTTCAAACCAATCATTATCCAAAATAGTCTAAACTTTGATATTTGCCCCAGAGTCATTTTGCCAATTCCTAGATTCGTTATGATTGAGAAATTGAGTACAAGGGATTAAGGTTAAGTTTAAAAATAGGGGCAGGATTCTCTGATTTTTTTTGAAACTTTTAAGAATACACGGAATTTGATAATAAGGTTTAATTATTTCTAGTAAATTATAAAGTCAACATAATAACGGATAACATGAGGATTGTAAAACTTTATAAATAAAGCGATCAGAAAGATATTGTCTGCGAAGATTAAGTGGGGGCTCTACACATTTAAGCTGCATGGCGTTTGTTTGATTTCAAAAATGCAAAAATGGCATCTAAGTACCTTACAATATTTGTTGATTTTAATTTAAGAAAAAATAATAAGTATTACTTACAATTAACCATGGCAATATTATTTATTTAATTCTTGCTGTTATTATAATACATAATTAAGTACAACTTTTTTTTTAACTTTCTTAATCTATACATATAATAAAATTGTAAACAAGCCGAATCTGTACATTAAATATTTTTTTGGAAAATCTTATTGAAATAAACATTATTATCGATACAGAGGCCGAATCTATAGTTTTTAGAATTTTTGTCTGTCTGTCTGTTATCGCATCACAGAAAAACCACTGGAGGGGTTTTAATGAAATTTAGTATGGTGATAGCTGGTTATCCGAGTCAACATATAGGATACTTTTTACCACGGGAAAATATCTCATTTTTGAGAAAAAATACAAAAACTGCAATGTAAGTGTATACTAATATGTAAAACCTAAGAATTTGCTTTTTTGTCACCTGAACGCAGGTGGAGTCGCGAGCAATGCTAGTATCATATAAATTGTGTCATGTAATAAATTGATAGGTTTAAAGTTTATTTTCTTTTTTTAGAGCATTTAAATAAAAGCTTGTTTTTAAAAATGTCTTTTACAATTATTTTATTATTCGTATTTCTTCTCATCAAACCCTTTCATTTGATGCCCATATCATAACAATATGTAAAAAAATGCAATTCGCGAACGCGTTCTACCGCAAAAAAATTTGAGATCTAATGTAAGACCAAGTCTGTTAATTTATTCAGTACCTATCAATGGAAGCATCTATCCAACAACTTTGTCATAAATTTATACTGAATTAGTTTAAAAACAACATTGTATAGTGAACGTATCAATATGACATAACATCTTTTTTCTTTAATAAATAGTATGACTTGGCCATCGGATGGAAACAATCACATAAAAATAGTCTACTATTTTAAATGTCCTAATTTAACATACCGCTTGCGGGTCAAAATACATACACAAACATAAATAATGCGCTCGGAACGCTAATGTTAAGAAAATTTTGGTAATTATAAACTATTGCTGTGTGCGACGATATTACTTTTCATGCTTTAAAAGGATTTTTGCAGTATATTCCATAGAAAAAGAAAAACTTCACTAGCCACTAAAGGCTAGAGCAAAAAATGAGAAAAGCGGTTTAATGTCCCACCTTGAAAATGTAAAAGTTAAAGTTAAAAGCTTCTTCGCGCTGTTACGAGAAATTTGAAAAAAAAATAGCTTATAAGCATCCTTGATAGGACATAATATGTTATGTATCAATGTGCCTATCACGTGACTAGAACGGTAAATTAGGACTACTTTGTTTTAAATAATATTTTAAACTTATAACATATGAAACTCTGTATTAGTTATCAGCAAGGTATTCATTTTACAAAAATAAAAAATACAATTTATGAGCTATAGCTCTTTCTATGAAAAGTTTTTGTCGCGTCTATTACAGTACCTATAAAATTTAAAATAAAAGGTTCTAGGTTTACTTTGCTTTGCTTCGTTTTGTAAAATTATTAACAGGAATGGCTCACAAACAATTTTTTCAGTGATGCTTCGTTTTATAAAATTATTTACAGGAATAGCTCACAAACAAATTTATTTGTGAAATTCATTTCATATTTGTTCAAAAGTTGCATGGACTGGATATTCTAAATTAAATGTTCTTTACAACGAAAATTATATACATATATATATATATATATATATATATATATATATATATATATATATATATATATTTTACAACACTTATAACTCGAGAACTGCTGGACTGATTTTTATGCTTATGATCTTTGTTTTGTTGGATTTTTCTTTACCCCGAATAGCAGAATAACTATTAAAACATCGGAATAATTCACGAAAAAAGGAATGAAAAAAAATCTATCAAAACGTACGTATTATTTAGTGTTGCTATTATTATAATATGAATAAAGAAATTTTTAAATTAAAATGATTAATCATTTATTTAAGCATTATTATTGTTTTATATTATGTAATTTAAAAATTAAATTTTTAGCAAGACTTGTTAACTTTAAAGATAAATATATTAATATAAACTGAGTGTAATAGCATATCATACAAGCTCGACACTCGAAGTCCATCAAGTTTACTTCTCTGATTCACTGATACGAGCACACTCACAAGTGTGTGGTATCGATGTTTGGCTCTTCCAATTTAGCGTTTATAAGAGGTTTCAAATTTGTGGCAAATGCCAGTGTAGATCCGACATAACAATAATTATTATCAGTGATGATAATAAAAGAGAACTTCCATGCATTATATTTTAACAATCATTTTTATTGGCAGAAAAAAACGTCCGTCTAGTTTTTTACTGTTTTTATCTAATACACTTTAAATAGAATAGGTTTTATATATAAAATGAATATATTGAATTTTTACACAGAGTTCTAAAGCCCAGACTTAATTTTAGGCTTACAGTAATTCCAGTTTATTGAGGATGCACTGTAATATCAAAAGAATGTAATATCCTTTGAAAGGAGCTTCTTTTTGTAACGGACTCATACTTGTAATAAAAATGTGAAGCTTTTCAATAGATGCGATACTGAAGTGCTCAATTACTCAACATATTGGAACATATTAAGCTAAAAAGCACTATATTTTTTATGACTTCTCACTACCTACACAAAAATTTTGGATGATGCTGGGAACTAGAAAATATAATAGACAAAAGACTATTGCTTTATTTTTTTAATATCATGAATCCAAAAGATGAACCAACGACATAAAAAAAAGTGTTTTCATAATACATTTTACGCTCGCATGTAAAGTGTGAGTCGATGAAAACTATGAAAATATCTCTTAATCCTATTAACTAAGTGTTTTCAAACATTTAAGTCAGTAATCTACGAGGTCATTGTGAGTGAAACAAAGGCAACATATTTCTTATCATTTATATTCAGGCTTCAAGCTGCAATGTCACTGAAAATAGTAACATCATAATATTATTTTCCTGCAGGAGTGTATGAGAGTTGTACTTTGGGTATAAAATATTTTTGAAGTTATACTACTTTTGACTCGTTAAAAAATGATGAGAGCGATTTTTTACGATGCGACTGATTCAGACTACAGTATGAAATTAGTCATTAAATCTCCCTTTAGATTCGTTTGAATGGGGTGATTTTGATCAGTTTCAGCATTAAAATTATTGTTTTTTCTTCATATATGCGAGCAACAAAAAGTATAAAAAATGTAATTATCGGTTTTGTTTATTACTGTCCATTTTTTTTATAAAATAGTATTTAGCTGATTATTTTTCGAGATAAAAAATTAAATGTCCGTGATCAATAATAAACTACGATCAGGTTTAATTTAATACCACCCTTTTTACTTACGGGAATTGAAAGTATCCCGAATCAGGAACAAAACGCAAAAAAATAAAATAATTTACAAGAGATTAGTTATGTTCCCGCGGTAAAAAGTATCCTATATGTTGACCCGGATAACCAGCTATCATCATACCAAATTTCATCAAAATCGCCCCAATGGTTTTTCCGTGATACGGTAACAGACAGACAAACAGACAGACATCGCATGAGTAATGAGTTCTCATGAGTTAAAATAGACTTGAGATTGTTACAATGTTCTAACAATTCATTTTTTGGGAGTTCTCTTAAGTCGCACAAATTGCTTCTTCTTGGATCGAGCACAGAGGCACATTTACAAAGTCTAAAATCTCGCAATCAATTTCAGCAGCTAACACTTTGGCATCTTTAACAATTTGAATAAAATACTCATGGTACTTGGTACGGTACATAAGGTACGTTTTGTAATTAAGTGCTGAATAAATCTTTACTCCATTCTATTCTAATATTCTCAGAGAAGATGTTTTATTTTGACTGATTTGATTATTTTCAGGAATGGCTGATTAGTTTTATGGCGTTACATAATTGTTTTTTTTTTAATTAACATTCAAAACAAATCAATTCTTGTGATTTTTTTATACTAACGTATGAACCTCTTAAATATTTTAACTTAAATACGTATGAACTGACTTCCCTTAAGAGCTTGGTCTTAATCTTTTTAAATTCTGAAACGATTTTGAATAAAAATATTTATTGTTTCTTAAGTTAAAAGGTCATACGTAGACAAGATTAGCCCGAGACAGGAAAAAATGGCACAGGGGAAAGAGGCCTATATGCAGCAGTGAGTCGAATCAAGTTGATGATGATAAAGTTGAAAGGTACCTACATAATTGTCGAAGAAAAAAATTCAATCCATTCAGTAGTTTCTGAGAAATTCATTAACAGACATTATTTATTTATTATTAATGTTGGGTGTGGTGCCGAGGTCGGCCCTAGCTACGTCGACCAGTTTTGGTCCATTGTAGCTCCCTTTATAGTGAGTTCAAAGTTCTCCGCTTAGTCCTGTTGACTCCAGGAACTTCCAGATTTTCTGAGCGGGGAGCATCTGTATCTCTTCCGGTTGCATAATATGCTGCCCTAGATAGATACTTCTTACTTCTACTTAACAGACATACATACTATATACATGCACACACTATATATATATGTATGTGTGTGTGTTACAGTTAAAACGCGTTTTCTCTAGTTAAAACTGGTTTTTACTAAATGTCTTTGTTACAACTAGAATTTACTATTACATATTCAAAAAATATTATCAGTTAAGACTAGTTCTAAGTAGACACAACGCGTTTTGAGAATGTGTTTTAATTTTTGAACGATTTAAATAGCTACTTGCTGGGCCTCAGAACTAAGAGAAATGAGCATGGGGGTTCTGGGCTTAAAATAAAAAAACCCGACGAGAAGGTTCAGGCGCGTTTCAACCTACGTTAACCATGTCGGACCTGTCACATAATCAATAATTAAAACTTACAAATAAATAATCTTTTCTAATTTAACTAAGGTTTTAGTTTGGCCAAGATTTATTTAAAATTTATCTTTACTATAATATTATAAAGAGGTAAAGTTTGTGAGTTTGTGATATTGTAGGGGGTAATCTCGGGATCTACTAAACCGATTTAGATAAAATTTGGTAAGAAGATAGTTTGAGACCCTGGGAAGGACATAGGATACTTTTTATCCTAGAAATCATTCTATAAGGGGTTGAAAATGGGTATGAAAGTTTCTATGGGGAATCAATCAACCTAGGGACAAACCTGAGTGAAACGAGGGTGAGTCGCTAGTTTAATATAAATATCAAATTTCTAGTTTTAACTAGTAAGTACTAGTTGTAACACAGGCATTTAGTTAAAACCAGTTTTAACTAGAGAAAACCCGTTTTAACTAACAGCGGGTTTTTACAACATATATATATATATATATATCTGAATCTCAGAAACGGTTCCAACGATTCTCGACTCAACAACTCTTTTTTTTTGGGTTGTAGGTGTCAAAGTATAAATATCACTTTATTGAGATCTCACAAAAAAAATTAAAAATAATATATACAAGTATTTCATGTAAAAAGTTATGATTATGTGCTAATAACTTCTAACCTGCCAGCAGTATCCATAAAGTGTCCTTTACTTACCTAAAGCTTTGCAAAATTGTGATCTTAAAGTTACACATCTGTGAGTACTACCTACATTGTTTTGTGTATACTGCAAAGAAGAATGGAGTCCATCAAACACACAATTCAGGAAGTAACACAACATTTCAACGACAAAATGGCTGAATTTCAAGAAAATTTAAATTCTTCAGTGTCTGTGACAAGTTCTCCTTCAGCTATTGCAATTCAGTTCAGTACTTTCCACTCATTTGTATTATCTGCGCTTGAGGGACTCCAACTAGAAGTTCAGCTTCTAACTAAGCAATATGACAGCATGGAAATGCGGAGTAGAAGGAAAATCCTGTTAGTGCACGGTGTTCAAGAGAAAAGAAAAGAAGATACAGCCTTTTTAGTGCTAAAGGCGTCGTCACAACACTTTAAAATGCCAGATCTCTCATTAGATAATGTGAGCAGATATCAGCGTATTGGAACACCATCAGTAGAGAAGTCGAGACCCATATTAATTAAGTTCAAGGATCAGTCAGTCATCCTTGAATAATCAAATTTGTTACTCTAATGCCAATCTCAAAAATACTGGAATTACTCTATCTGAGTTGTTAATTAAACCCAGACACAAAACTTTCATGGCTGCAAGGCAACGCCTCGGAATAAGTGTTGGACCAAAGACGAATATGTGATTGTCACTGGCCCAGACGGTAAGCGCCATAGTATAATAGTATTGTGTGCTGAGCTCAACAAAATTGTAGCCGTTCCTGAAGCTCAAGGTCGAGCAGCCCCTGCCTCTTGTGTGGGGTCCATGGTGGATAACAAGTCAAAGCAGATCACCCGTGCTAAAAGTATCATCAAAAAGTAATATTAACTTCCATTATTGTTGTATAATCCTATGTCGTTATTCTAGTTAACGTTTCTATTTTTTCCTTTGTTACTGTATTTTGCTTGTAGGTATTTTAATTATAATTTCTCAACGTCTTTTCTTTTTAGTATAAATTACCCACAGTATTTAATATACAACCAATGTAACATATTTTTATGATAATATATACAAACAATAAACATTAAACATGAATTAAGGTGACATTTGACAGTTGACAGTTTTGTTTCGTTTTACGATATATAAGTTTAGCAATTATAACTCTTGTTATTGTTAAAATGTGCTGCTGGAAGGTTAATAAAGCGTAAATTAATTATTATATGATAATATTATTATTTTATATATTTTAAAGACCAATATTTTTATTATTAGAATTAATTAAAATTAGGTATATTATTTATTATATTATAAACACAAAAGAACAATAGTAGAAACTTATTTATATAAATCTAACAATCAATTATTTATTTTTAAGCACTTGATTAATTTCTGGTTTTAGAATACAATTCTACAAAATTATCCAGTGATACACCAATTCGTATAGTTACAGTGGGCTTAGTGTGAGTTTTTTTTGACTACTCGATCGCGTTAAAGTAAACGCAATTTTGTATGGAGTTGGATCAGCGCCACCTAGCCGAAAAATTGTAAAACATATTTTGTGAGTGCGAGATTGTTTGTTAACTTTACAATCGCGACCGTCGACTAGCTTTGTCGAAGTGACGATTTAAACGCGCTGGAATGACGTTTTTGCGAGTGTGAGATGCAATTTATGTCACTTTTGACAGTTCGATTGTAAACTTCCTCACTTGCGAGCAAGTTAACTTTGTCACTTAGATTTTGTTAGTGGGAGTGAAAACGCTAATTAAAATACGAACATATTTTTACAAAATTCATAATATTATGTGGGTGTTGTGTTGTTTTAATTGGATTAAAAAATGGCAGCAGCATTTAAAGGCTTGTGCAAAGAACTAAGACAATTATCTAATTTGAAATCTACTCAAGGGGTTACCTTGGAAGCAAAGGTAAAATCATTTAAAACAATTTGTGTACATAAACATGCACCCTTCGTGTATTTTTTATCAATTGTTATTATTCTAGGTACTCACTGCACTATCTTTGTTTGCAACGGGATCTTACCAGCGGCAGGTAGGAGTTGCAAAGAATATATCCCAAAAAATGTGCATTGTTTATATTGAAGAAGTAACCACAGCATTAATATATTATAAGAATATGTTAAATAAATATATTCATTTTCCTGACACTCTAAATGCCAGACAAGCAATTAGTCAAAGGTACTTATGCTTTCATACAATTGACTATTTATTCTAATAATAAAGATTTTACTATAATTTAGTTAAATATGTTTTGTTAAAATTAATTAATTAATTTTCAGCTTTGAAACATGATAACATCCAAGATCATGATGAGAGGATTACCACTTAGAGAGAGAGAGAAGTTCCACCACTGATTTATTTAGAGGCAGTATTAAGGGATCAATTAATAAGAAGATTACAGAGCAGCAATAATTAAACTACTTTACAAAAAAAGTTTTTTTCTTTTACCCTAAGATAATTATTCATACTGAATGTGTTTCCTACCTACTCTCTTACTACTAAAATATATGTCTCATATTTTTATCACATCAAGTTTTTTTAATATATCCTCATTAAGTTATTTGTCTATCTTAATGTTACTCGTTTACTATTGTGTTTATCTATTATTCAAGCATTTTGATTTGTTTTAAAATGTCCTCAAGACAGTGCTCCACTTTTGCCATGGTTGTTGTCAAATTATCTTGTCAAAAAAGAAAAGACCGATCAGTGAACACATAAAACAAGCCTATTTTCAATACTTTCAAATCTCGGTAACATATCTTGATAATAAAATGGTTTCTTGGAGTAGTATGTGAAAATAATGGTATATTATTGAACTGAGCTGCAGGAAAAAGAAAACACTTGCATGTGATTCATATCACATTAGGATTATTTACATTTTTATCAAAGCACATAAAAAGAAGGACCTAAGTTAAGACCTGTGTTCTTTTAAGTATTTAAAATCCATTTTTCCAAATCTTTCTGCTGCTAAAGTGAAAGAAGGAATGTTTGTGGGGCCCCAAATAAGAAAGATATTAAAATGTTGATGGTCACTTATCCAGTGTCGAAAATGATGCTTGGTATTCATTTAAAGCGGTAGGGAACAATTTCATGGGCAACAATAAATCAAAGGATTATGAAGCGATTGTTTCTAATTTATTGAGGAATTACCACAAAGTGGGGGTGAACATGTCCTTAAAAATTCATTTACATTTGCACCTGGATTTTTTTCCTAAGAACTTGGAAAGCATAAGTGATGAACATGGTGAACGTTTTCATCAAGATTTACAGACTTATGAAGAGATGTACTGAGGTTTTTGGGATAAAATATGATATCCGATTACTGCTGGTCTAATATATTAAGAGAAACTGACGCTAATTAGTATAAAAGCAGAAATGTGTCATTTTTGATTTTTTGTGGGTCACATAATTTTTTTTGTTGAAAACAAATATAGTAAATACGTAAAAAACTTGACATCTTATTTTTTATCCATTTCAGTATCTAACTAAGAGTTCATTATTCTACCGATTCACATTAGTTTCATCTATGGGTAAAAAACCTTGTAGTGTTATTACCTTTTATATTATAAGTTTATTTTAATATTTGGTGGCAGTTAATCTATCGTAATTTACCACAAAAAATATTGTATCATATATGTATATCTATGTATGATTAGTATGTATATAAAGTGGATGTTAAATGAAAATGAGGTAAATAAAATAATCTGAAACATTTTAATCTTTATTTTTTAATCTTAATACTTATTAAATAAATAATCTAATCATAACAAAAAATAATAAATAATTATTATCTTATTTTCAAATATAATCATTACAAAACTTATTAGCTAGTTAACCTAATATATCTAACATTCTTGAACCTAAAGCTTGCCATTCCTCTGAGTCTGCATTTCCATTTCTCTTATCCTATTTTGCTCCCTTTTCGTCTCTATATGATTTCTTATATTGCTGCATTCTGAATGCTCTCCATTCAATAAAAACTGATATGCAGCCTGCTCCGTTTGTGTCAGCATTCGTTTTTGTCAACTTGAGACTCGGAGAAAAATGGGTAAGAGTTCTTCAGCATCCAACAATAGAAAATTATTGTTTTTATTTCTACATGCAATATTCTCTGGATATTTTCACTTTATGATTTAAATTAAGTACAATATAAGTATCAAGTAACATACTTTCTATGATTTCAATATCTACATTGAAGGCTTGGCTAGGAGCAGGCTTAAAGGAGGCTTTACATGCACTCTGCTAGAAGGTCCAGGCTCATTCCATGGTTCGATACCTAAAAAATAAATATATATTCACACCCATCCTCTCCTATTTATTTATAAAATGATAATATCTACACCAAACCAAACAACTTACATTCATGAATCGGACCTTTTTCCGCTTCTCTGTGGTTTTGTATCACCATTTACCATTGCCCTCACTGTTAAGCAGTGATGTAAGCTCCTTCCAATACTGGATGGTCACGATTCTACCTCTTGCATTGATTATTGGCTTACTAAGATCTCCATGTCTAGCAATAAGAAAACAAAAACACATATCTATCACAAGTTCACTTCAACAACTCGCATTCAATATTGTAAATAACTAATAACTTGTTTAGGTTAGTACTTACTCCTCCATAAAAGTTACTAACAATTCAAATTGAGTTGAGTTAAACAATAATTGGTTCATACACAGTTTGTTTACACAACAAATTCCAACAAGTTGAAGCTTTACGCGATACGTAGCTCGACTATTTAGATAATACATCGCCTCCATACAAATAGCATTAGAAAATCATTATATTTAATTTGGTCGGTTTATCGCATATGCGCTACGTGCTACCAATATACGAAAAAAAATAAACGCTGAACTCGGTGAGCAAACATCATTTGAATCGAATGACTAGCTCGTCACTCGCACTCAGACTTATTCATTTTACTTCGTGACAACGTATGTTCGATTTACGGCGTGGTTAAGTCATTCGATTTGTCATATGAAACTCACACTAAGCAGTAAGCACACAGCTCGAGAAAAACTAGTCAACTTGACAAAGCTTCTTGACAGCTTGATGTAGTCACAGATTAATTATTATCAAATATCAAAATAGTGGATTTATCCTCATTATATTTAAATTACTTATATTAGTTATATTTCATATTATTTAACATAATTATATTATATATTGAATTTAATTAACTTATTAGTTTATTTATTTAAAAATGAGTTGCAATGACAGTATAAGTAGTGGCAGTTCGCATAGTGATTTATTTTACCAATGCGATTCCACGTCATCCGACGGCAGTTTTCACAGCATTTCCATGCCGCTTAACTCTTCTCTAGAGAACAGTTTTAGCGATTTTTCAAATATTTTTAACGTCATTCATTTGAACGCGCAAAGTATACCCGCTCACTACCCTGACTTATTAGATTCTTTTGACGTAAAGAATATCCATGCGGTTCTAGTGCCCGAAACCTTTCTGAAGCCCTGTTTACCCTTAATTGCGTATGCTTTGCCTGGTTTTCATCTAATACGAAATGACAGAACTGAGAAGGGGGGAGGCGGGG